AGGCGGCGGCCTCGCTGGTGCTCACCGCCCTTTTCCAGCGGTTTCTTAGAGCGCCGAGGCAGCGCAGAAGAGCCCTCGCGTAGTGTTCTTGGGGTTCGCCAGACGAAGCCGTAGAGCGTAGCCGCCTCCTACCAAAAGCCCAAGGAAAGAACAGTGCGCGGTGCCAGCCGGCGGGGCCAGGCCCTCGCTGCTCGGTTTTCCCGGCGCTGAGGGGAGCGCAGCCCGGGCGGGGGGTGGCGCAGGCTGGAGCCGCGCTGTGCCCGGCTTCTGGGCGGCTGCGTGGGCTTGTAACGGCCGGGGGGGCAGATGTGTTGCTGCTGACTCGTTTTGCACCTGATGTGCCCCAAGAGCTGGCCATGCCCTAAGGGAAGGAACGCTCCTCGCCGCCAGTCCGCACCTCCCGTCTCTCAGGCGATACGCGGGGGGAAGATCTTGCCGTTGATCACGGTTAACTTCCATCTCCTGCTTACTGATCTTTCCACCATGCAGCGTTCGGCTTTTTCACATGATGTCTCTGACTTTCGGTATGAACAGCCTGTAAGCTTTCGTACAAATATCTCCGTATCTTTAGAAAAAAAAAAAAAAAAAAAGTTAAAACTCTCTGGGTTCTTTTGTTTCTTTGTTTTATTTTTGGGCAACTCCTGACGGTATCACTGCTGCTACTGTGTTGAGGTTGTGCTTTATCGTGGTGACCATCATTGCCTAATTGATGCACGCCTCTTAGCTGTTTCTGTCTTGGTAGTGCTGTGTCTTTTCGGTAAGTTGGGTTTTGCAATCTGGAAAGTAACACTTTTGCAAGCTAGGAACATCTTTTTGTTACATGTTTGTAGACTAAGAGTAGCAGAGTACTATCCTGATTCGTGACTCTTGTAACCATGCAGTTGATACAGGTACGTGTGATCCTAATGCAAGGTGGCTTCCCAGTACAATTTCTAGCCTTGTTGTCTCTTCCTCCATAAGTATTTTGGCAAAATTCTTCCCCAGCTTTATTTGCAAGTCCTGTTCGTGAAAAGTGAGAAGTACTTTGAATGCAAATTAGTTCAGTATTCTTTGATTTCACCTTCTGGAAATGGGTGGCAGTGGAGTAAAGGGCTGGAGATGATCTCAGGCTTCTGGCAAATGCAATTAGCCTTCCAAAGATGTCATCAACATCCTCCCACGTTACTCCTAGAGGTGGATCGGTATCGGTTTGTCTGCCTAGCTGTTTGCAAATAAGAGTTTGTCATGGGTAATTAGAAGCTCTCTGATTTCAGGTCTGTTAGCTGGAATACATGACTGAAGTACTTGCCCTAAAGTTACAGTGTGAGGTAACCCTGCATTCCGGTTTAGTATATTAGTGTCACACCCATCAAGTTTTATTAAGCCTTTGGTGTCTTTAACATGGAATTTTATCAGGAACAAACTCGTTTACTGTAGGAGAAGACGTATGGGAAACTTCTAATATGGATGTATATTCACACTAGCTTCAGGATTTGTTGGGACTCTTTTTAGAAAATAGTTAATCTTGATTATTTTTGTCTTTGAACTGACAATGAAATTCTTTATCTATATGTGAAGTCCTGTAACATCGTTTATGCTTTTCAGTATGATGCATTGAAAGCCATTTTCTTAATCATTAGTGTTTACTTATTAGCATAAAACTTAGGAGTTACTGCACTACTGTGATGGAACTGGTTTTGTATAACAATATAGGTTGTTTGGGCGTTTGGTTTGGGTTTTTTCTGTCTATGCTTGAACGTTTGTCTCAACAAAAAGTGTTTTCCTAGTTGAATGTTGTAGATTGTGGAGTGACAGAGTAGCTGTCTGTGCAAATGGTTAGTATAATCGGAGTGGGAAGACTCAGGTTTGTGTTTTTTCTGTGGAATCTAAAACATTTATAGAACTGAATAATTTAGGAAGAGTAAATGCAGCTGATCATTTAAATGAGGTTCGTGCTTTGTACAGAGTTTTCTGACAAATAATGATTCAAACATTATACCACTTGAATAATCCTGTGTATGAATAACTTTGACTCATGAACTTAGTTCAGTACTACTTAGGCTAAATATGGCCTTTCCTTTGCTAGATGGTCAAATACCACATTTTGCGTCTCTTAGGCACTTAAAAAGGAAAAGTTCTTAAAAGATGCAACAGTATTAGGTATTTCAACAGTCAAGGAAAAGAGTGAAAAAAATACTGATTCAGCAAAAAGTCTGTGGTTCAGTACTTTTTTGTGAATGTGAAGGCTGAAGGTGTTTATTAATCACCTTTCTAAGAAACAAGATCTACTTATTCTAATATCAGGGAGTTACAAAGCCTGAAATGCTGATAAGGATTTTTGGCTTTTTTTTCAGTAGGTGGCTATTTTAATAGATGATCTGCCTTCTGAAAGGGCTGGGAGTGTCTTTATTTCAGAAAATGAAAATTCAGAGGTTTTTGTTTCTGGTATATCATGTTTTCTTGATGTATTTAACTTAAGCATGGCTCATAGAGTTGCTTTTATCTAGGCTTTATTGTATTGTTTATATCTGGTTACCAAATGAAACTCAGTGCAGATCCTAGAAAAACTTGCTCTTCCTTCAAACACCAACAGCGTTTAATGGTAAAAGTGTTTTTAAAGGTATTTTTGACATGTACAGGTTCTTGTGATGAGCCCCCTTTCTTTTCTAATTCACACAAAAGTTAAGAGAATTTCTTATCAGTATAATTGCAGTGAGATTTTCTTACTTCCTTTGTTGACAGCTATAATGCTATTAAGGATAAAATTAAGAAAACTACAAAAGCTAGTGAGAACAGTCTCCAAGATTCTTTTGACTTAGACTCTTTGCCTTCATTCCTCGTTTTCTCAACAGGGCAACATCTTAATTTCCTCTGAATCATACTCAAGTGAACATCTGTAATTCTGACATCACACTTTTTTTGTGAGGTAATAACATGCTGTAGACCTTTAATGCCACTATAGACCTGATAAGATATCCTTGTCTTGAGGTTAAATTGTGCATCTGAGTCATTAAGAGGAAGTAGAGGTCTGCATCTTGGGTGCTTTGAGGGTGGTGTAGATTGGGATCAGGATCTCAAGGGCCATAGGGAGTAGAGAGGAGGTAACTGCGAAGGAGCTGCCTGTAATGAAGGTAATTTCTTTGACATTTTGCTGTATTGCATTGCATTACTTGCATTTCAGCCTAGCTTCTCCTTTGTTAGGCAGTCTGTGGCAGTAACTTTTCTGGCAGGCTTGATTACAAAGAGTAGTAACAAATGTGTGGTAAATTTGCATGCTCCATTCAGAACTGCTCCTTCTGGAGTAGAAAAAACTGAGAGCTTTCAGTTAAAGAAAACCATGGATCTAAAGTTAAGTCCAACAGATTTTTGTAATGACCAAAAAAAATATTGAAATGTTACTAGAATGCCTGGCAATTTTCATGTAATCTACAAATGTCTGGAAGACTAGGAAAAAAAAAAAAAAGTTCAGCTAAAAAGAACTGTATGTGTTTATGATGTGAGGTAAGACAAGGGTTGAGGCCTTTGCATTACCTGTAATGCACAGTTAATTCTGGAAACTTAAGGTTGTCTCTGGAGCCTATTTTACTGGAAATTCCTTGCTTTGGAAATCAAGGATAAGTAGTACCTGAATATTTTTGAAATTGCTGGATGTTTTCAGTTTGATCAGAGGGGTCTCTTTTGAGGATAGTCATTGGCAGTTTTAGTATTCAAGAATATTAGAGTTCAAGTACTCATGATGTGTTTCTGCTTTTGTGTTGAAAATTACTTGATGAACAATGGGAGAAGCTTGAATCTTTCGGTCTGAGGAATGCAGCACTGGAAACGTACATGAAAATGTGAAGAACTGGAATATTATAAAGTTCATCCTCAACAATTTTGCTGTAATGGTAGCTTTCCCCTTTTAGCTTCACTGTGATTCATTGACTAAATATGTGACTTCAAATTATGGCCTTATTTAAACTAAACGGATACCCTGTGCTGATTGGGGCAAAGTTCTCTTCTAGAATTTTACTACATTATTAAGTGGACAAAGTTGGCTTTAATGCGTATTAAAAAATCAATTTGCTTAATGAAGAATTAAAAACACTTAGAAAATACCATCAAAATTACCATAGAGAATTGGAATTTTGGGTTTTCTGTTTCTATTGTTATCTGATCAAAAAATAAAATTACAGATTGATGTAAATTAAGTAGCCTACTACATTTCTTCTACAAAGTATTGAAGTAGTTACCTGAAATGTTGCCCTACTCAGTGATTTAAGTGGCAAGTATAATCAATCCTCCAGTGAGAGACTAAATAGTACAGCCCCGTGTTCACTTAGATTATTTTTTGGTAAGCCTAGTGGGTTTTATTTTTTTTATAAGCAAATACAAGTACTATTTCATAGGTAATATAAAAATAAATACAGCATTAGACTGTTACCTCTTAAGCTTGCTAATGTTAGTGCTATTAACAAATACATTGTAGAACTTGCAAAGGTGGGGGGTAAGGGAAGTTGCAAAGGTGGTGGGTAAGGGAAGTGAAAAGATTGGCTAGACTTGCTTCCATTTTCCTAGACCTGTTGGAATTCTCCTTCTAGGATAGTTGAGTAAAGGTGGCTTGTAACTGGCGCCTTATATTTAAATTTGTGTAACACTATTCCAGATTTACTTCTCTTCAATCTCACTTGAAATAAGTACCATTAAATTACGTGTGTTATACAATGAAACCACTGTTACAAGGGTGCAAATTGTATCTCTGTATCGTTTAAAACACTAATCCTATGCAGCTGTTGCCCCACTCATGCCCACAGAATTAATACAGTCTGATATTTTTTAATAAAAGGGTAGAATCAAAAGCTTTGATGTTTTTTTTCTTGCCCAGCTTGCCTAACTCTGTTTGCAGCTGT